ATTGTAAGCATTCACCAGAATATTTGTGTGTAGGGACTGAAACTGTAAATACAAACCACTTCGGTTTGTAAATGTTGTAGTGAGTAAGTCCACTTATCAAGCGGTTCATGATGGCCGAAGCTCCTTGGCAGTTTGGATTCATAGAACCTCCGAGGACTGAGCAAGTCAAGGCATTCCCAAGCTTACTCTTTTGTGTTATCCATTTCACAATAGGGCATAAATCTATATCCAATGGGGAAGGTAAAATTAAAAGTAGAGGTGAATAACATTAAGCCATCGCAGCAAGAAGTGATGTCATTCTTTGTATAGTGGACATTTTTCCTACACAATAGCTTTGTGCAAGTGCGAGGCAAACAATTCCACAGTGGGGGTAATATGTTCTTGCATATTTAAAAGTAAGAATGCACATCAATTCGCTCAAATTTGGGCATTCTTCAAAACCCAGAGCCTAGGCATTTCTGAAAGATCTCAAAAAATATTCTCCCACTGGTGAGAACAGTGGAAAACAATTATTTCATTATTTTACTTTTCTCATTCATTTCTTCTAGAAAAAAATCAGATTTATGTTTCAAGTTGATAATGTTCTTACCATGTCTAATTTTTATAGCCAGATATAATGACCTGCTTATGGTGTAAGGGAAACTAGTGAGACTTGATTAAAATTAAGGTGGCTACTGCCTTCTTTTTCTCCAGAAGCTCAATCAAGTGACAATGAAGCCCATCTTTGCCACTTTCGTATCTAGCTTATTCGGTGGCTCTTCCAGTGACTTTGAGCTGAGCCAGGATGCCGTGGAGGATTGCAAAGAGATTGCCAACAAGGAGGTGAGTGACGTATTTGTATTCAGTGATTTACCTCTTGAAAGCCACAGAGCTAATGGTTGTGATGTTGATTCTGGTGATTGGCCTCAAAAAACCAGTAAAAGTATGCTCTTTGCGCCAAGGCATTCACAACCATGTATTGCTTAAATTGGACTTGTGACTGTTTGGGAAGATTTTATTTTTCCTGTGTTAGCAAGCGTGCTACTCTCGTCAATCCATCCCTGAACCGGACTTCGACCTTACAGTGAGCATAAAAATCTTTTCTTGACAGGCTATTCCTTTTCTCAGCTCCTGGAGGAGTTCCTCTCATAGGCCCGATTGTGGAGCTCCCGGGGTTGTTTCTAGCAAGTGGTCACGAACGGAGTGGTCTCTCGCTGGTGGTGACGCTAGAAATCTTCACCACCAGAAGTTCTTGTTATCAATCGCAACTTGCTTGAGAAAAATCATTCGAAAAGAAATTTTTGCAACACTTCTGTGTCGGAATATGACTTAAGCTTCGAGACACATCAAACGCATACTCCAACCCAATAAGTACCAATACACAAATCTCGACACTATTTAAATATTGCGCTAAGGCATGTGGGATAATTGAGCGTTGCCTAGTAGTTATACATCCACAAGATAAGTAAAAGCTGCTTGTCGCCGCTTCGTGGTGCAGTCGGCTACCTCAGGCTTCTTTGCTCTCCCTTGTGTCTTTTTCATGGTCGAACATTGTAGATCAAACTCTCTGGATCCGGTATCTCAGCCCTTTGCTGCCGTCCCTCATCATGGCGCCTTGCCGTTCCCAAATTTCTGGAGAAATCGCTACAAGAAAAGAAGTCATTTTTTCATTTGTGTTATTCCACAGGGTCACGAGTTTTTCCGTTGAGCATCCGCTCTCTACCAGTACCAAAATATTTATAATTTGCAATAATAAATACAACATGTACCTTGTGAAATTTGTCGACAGCAGCAACCAATGCTGCTTCTTTCTCTTCCACCGCAACCATTGCTTGTCTCATCGCTAATGCTTTTAAAGCAAAATCCTCTTTTGCAAATGCAGCCTCCATTTTTGCAATCGCCTTTCTCGCAGCCAATGTTGCTGCTGCTTCTCTTGCTGCCAGCTTTGCCGCTGTTTCACCACCCGTTGCTACCCCGTCCTCAGCAGCTCTCCTTTCTGCCTCGGCCTCTTCTTTGGCAGCATTAGAAGCAGCAGCGGCAATAGCAGTGGCTTTGGCCGTTGCCTTTTCGGCACTTGCCAGCAAGAGTAAATAGTTGTCTCAACATGAACCACTCCAAACCCTGATGAAGGGGTTGTCCAGACCGCTGTCCACACAGTGTTTGTCACGTATGCCCCATAGCAGAGATTGGGCGTGAGTTTGTATTAAAGATGCGCAAACCTTGCTAAGAGTTTCTTCCAGAATGCCTCAAATTTAGTATAAAACTCATTTAGCAACTTTTCCCTTGGCAAAGACGCCCGAATTATGTTACGTGGCCTGTTTTCTATCACGTGTTCGATGAACTTGTTCAGGTCTGCAAAACTCGGTCCCGAATAATAGATGAGAAGTTCTGCAAGCTCACGAGAGCAGCCTTCTCCCAACCTTCTCTTGGTCATCCCAATAAGCTGCTCGCTGGAAACTTGCAGTAAGCTGTAAAGTGTTCCTCTAGTCCGAGCATCGGATGTGCTATACACCATATCTGCTACCATTTCTTCAGAACCAACCAGCCACAGACTAAAGTGCTGAAAATCAGTTGCTTCTTTTCCCAGATTCACCAGTTCGTAGGCCTCATCCTTCATGAGCCTGTCAGCATTGTCAACGACCACGACCAGAAAGCGAGGCTGTGCTCCTGTGTACCTACTCCACCAGTTCCGGTACCGTCCTACTCTTAAAATCCGCTCCCATTTATCTATGGGCTTCCCCCAGACAACTAGGAAATGGAGCACCATATGTGGTGTTGATATAGTCGCACAACTCCGATGTGGTGTCCTCCTTCATGCTGAAATACATGATAGCTCTCCCCCTTTACCTCTGGCTTCACAGTGGGCGGTAAAGTCTGGGTACAACAGTCTCCATATCGTGTAAATTGTGTCCGAGAACAGTAATCCGAGAACAGTAACCCACCATGATGGCTGTCACCTTTCGAACGTTGCTATGCACTTGCTCCGGAGTCGTCGTTGGCCGTCCGGATCCTATAACCTTTGTTCGAAGCGACCCGCAAGAGACCCTGGAGACCTAAACCTTCCCAGAACATAATGTCTGCACGAGATGGCATGGTGAGCAGTGACCACGAGGCGTCGACAGGCCACGCGCAACACACCTATGCAACATATCTAACGAATTTTTTACTAGAGAGAAGAGGTCTGCCCAAAAAACAATCTCTACAAATTAGCAAAGATCACACAGTAAGCAACGACCTTAGAGATGCACTTTCATCACTGTCAAGGAATTCGGCAGCAGCAGATCACAAAAGAATCTATGGATAGACAGAGCTTTCTTTGAGCCATTGCTGTTACACTCGTGGGATGCACAACGCTTGTCTCCATTGTTAATCGTCATTATTAACGCCTAAACACTCCATTGAAAGATTGTACTCGAGCTTCGTTCCATGATAGTGTCCACGATCATCTCTGCGGTGCCAAGTGCCTGCGATTGAGATAAAAAACAAGAAACTTTACAGGTTCTGGTGGTGAAGATTTCAAGTTTTACCAGCGAGAGACCAGTCCCTTCGTGACCACTTGCTAGGAACAACCCCGGGAGCTCCACAATCGGGCCTATGAGAGGAACTCCTCCAGGAGCTGGGAAAAGGAATCACAGCTTTAGCCTGTCAAGAAAAGATTTTTATGCTCACTGTAAGGTCGAAGTCCGGTTCGGGGATGGATTGACGAGAGCGGAACGCTTGCTAGTGCAGGGAAAAACTTGGCAGCTCTGTGGAGGATTTGCTGGATGACTGCTTCGTCTGGAGTCATGTCAAAGCCTTTGAATTCTCTGCTACTACCTGTTGAGACGAAAGAGAAAAAACTGGCTCGATGTAAGAGCTCAAACTCATACGCACCGAGCAAGAAATTTCCGGCCGGATCGACTGTAGCCGTGGTGGCCACTCCAAATTCGTCTAGTGTTTCCTTGGAGTTTTTGGTGCTCGTGTAAGCAAATTCCATGGTTCCGTAGTTTAGATGCAATCCAGCCGTTTTATCCACCACCAAAAGGTGGCCCTTTGATTCAGTGAGAGAACCAGCGTCAGCTCAAGCTGGGAAAAAAGATTGCTTTTACCTTCCGAGGCCGGATTGATGGAGTCAAATCCAAATCAAAGCGTTTGGATAGAATTTCCAGTAAGTCCGAGCTCCAAGCACCGGCTGAAACTATAACAGCTCGCTTAGAATGAAAGTCACCATTTAAAGTTTGTAATCCCTGCATATATTTATCTGCTGGCGACCTACGGAAAACGACGAAAAAACAAGCTTTTGTAGAAGCAGTTAGATATCAAGTTGTCATACCAAAGAAAACCCGTCACCGGACTTCCAAAAACTTCTTTGTAGCGACCTCCTGGACCCAAAGCTCGATTTTCCTGCCAGGAAAAGACTTTCAGCATTTGGTAAAAGAGAGGAAAAAAAATAAAGAGGGAACAACGCACCATACTTGTTGAATGAACTCCACTGTAGCTCTTGCATCGATTTGGCAATCTGCAGGGAAAAAAGCCGCAGCTCCTTCTGGACCAAGAACAAGAGCAGGCTCTGCCGTTTGAGCTGTATGAGAGTTCCAGAACTCTCCTTGGACTCCAGCAGCAGCAACCTTGTGTAACCTGTTGTGCAAAGCTAGAGACTCCTCACCCCCAGTGGTAAACAACAAACTCCCTGCAGAAACATCAAGAAGATCAAACAAGAACTTCAAGAGAAAACGTTTGTCTTTTTCCTTGGTACCTGTGTCTCTCCACCCAATTTTCTCGAGAGGATCAACGCCAGAAGCTCGTATTTCCGCTACGAATTCGTGCCAGAGTTGGATGCTACGACGAGAAAAATCCCATGTTTTGGAATCCGGATTGAGGTGTCCAGACCATATGTACCCTTGTCCTGAGAAGAAGAAAACCAGGCGATCTATAACGCATAGATCTAAGGTAGAGCAACGAATAGCATACCAGCTCCAGTAGCTCCAGCGCAGATCTTATGGGCTGCCTCCACAACAGTGACGGAGAGATTGGTTTGGCGCAAAAAGCGATTTGCGATAGAGAGACCGATGATCCCGGCGCCAGCAATCACCACATCGGAAGAGCCCATTGCATGGACCTTCGCTGCATTTGGCAATGACTCGAGTGCCATGATCTAAACCGAAGACAAGGGTTTAGTCACGAATTTTCTAAGAATTATGAACACATACCGAAGCGCTAAGCTGATGTATCGAAGTGGAAGTTTGAGAAGATCTCTTCCAGCTTCGCCTGTAAAGCCGCTCGAGCTCCAGCATCCGCCGCATGGCCTCCACCAAAGCTGTCAGCTTCGTCCGTCCAAGAGCTTCGCTCATTCATCGTCCCAGTATCGCGCCTCAAAGCTTCTACATCTTCACTCTCCTCCGTCATCCCCGCACGGCTGTAGATGTTCGCCATCAAGACGTAGGCGGCACCGTGTCTCTCGTCCAGTTTCAGCACCGAGTCGAAAGCAAGCCTTCCAGCTTCCACATTCCCCCACTTGTGGCAAGCTCCCAGTAGAACCATCCATATTCTCAGGTCCGCTTGCATGGGCATGCTCGCCACCACTGTCACTGCTTGCTCGACTCGGTTGGCCCGGCCAAGAAGATCAACCAAGCAAGTGTAGTGCTTGATGTCCGGAGCAAGGCCATACTTCGTCTTCATCTCCTCGAACAGCTTGAGTCCCTTGTCAACTAGGCCGGCGTGGCTGCACACTCCGAGAACCGAGAGAAAGACCACTCCATCCGGTTTCACTCGATCTTTAGCCATCCTCTCCAAGAGTTCTATCACCTTTTTGCTGTCTCCTTGCAGGCTATATCCTGAGAGTAAAGCGTCCCAAGCCACCAAGTCCTTTCTGGAGATGGAGTCGAATATGTAACGAGCTTGCTCCATGCATCCACACTTCCCGTAAAAGTCCACCAGAGACGTCGCTAGAAGTGGATTACTTTGGAGCCTTGCGATGCGGATTTGAGCTTCGATTCGTCGTCCAGCTTCTAGTGCCGAGAGGTTGCCACACGCCTTGAGAGCAGCCATGTAAGTGACGACGTTCGGGACACAGCCTTGTTCTTGCATTCTCGAGAAGAGGCTCAAAGCTAGCTGACTCTCCCCGCTTTCAGCGTATCCCATAATCAAGGACGTCCATGACACCACGTCCCGCTGCCTCATTCTGTCGAAGACGCCTCTCGCATCGACCAGACTCCCACACTTGGCGTAGAGATCCACCAGGCTGCTTGCCACCAGGAGATTCATTTCAACTCCACCTTCTACTGCTTGACGATGAACTGCCCTGCCTCTTTCCAGACTCTTCGTTTTCAAAACGTTTCCTTCGACCAGCTTCCCTTGTTCTTCAAGTGCCAAGTTGCCACAAGCCTTCAATGCCGCTAGAAGAGTGACACGGTCTGGTTCGAAGCCTTCTTCTTGCATGCTCAAGTACATCTGAAAGGCCAGATTGCTCTGGCCACTTTCTGCGTATCCCCGAACCATGGAAGTCCATGTCACCACTGTGTGATGGAGCATGCAGTCAAAGACCCGGCGAGCGTCCTCCATGCTTCGACACTTGAAGTACATATCCAAGAGCGTGTTTGCTATGTAGACGTCGGAGATGTCATCACGTTGAATCACAGCTGCGTGGATTTGTCTGCCAGTTCGAAGATCTAGCGTGTTGCTGCATTTCTTTAGCGCGGCCACCACTCTAAAAATTCTGCCCCTGTTGTCTCTCCTTTTCTCTTCGGTGAAGCAAGCTAGAGTAAAATTTTTTACACTTGTTGTATTGTTCTGGAGAAAACAAACTTTGTTACAGTAAGACTTAAGCTGTATTATGCTGAAGTACCTGATTTGTCACCGTCATTTTGACGCTACCTTATCCAAACGCACAAAACTTCGAGACGGAGTAGACGCTGTTCCTGAGGAGCGCACATTAGAGCGAAAGTTTGAGTAAACTTTGAGTGTACCTGTGTGCCTTACAAAGTATAGCCGGCGAGAGAAACTGAAACGTCCTCCCGTTGCCAGCGGACAATTTTGGAGCTGCCTCCACAAGTCTGGATTGGGGAGCAAAGAACAGCATAGACAGACAACTAGTTCTCATCAGTGTCACTAGAGTTCCCCTCCCCTCCTGCTTCTTCCTCTGTGTCTCCTGCTTCTTCTTGTGAATCCGGCGCTATCTCGTTGATCGGACTCGGAATCTCGTCCTTTACAACCATTGCAGAACTCTGACTGCCCAGTGTATCAATCCTCACGACTGCTGCGTCATCCCTTGCAGCGCCTCTAACTTGCAGGCTATCACTATTTCCAACTTGGCTCGCCAAAACCCTCCTCTCTACTTCATCCTGAGAGTAGTTTCCGTCACTGCCCAGAACTTCGGACGTGACAAGGTCCGCTGTGCATAGACTACTCCTTCGAAGTTGTGTCTGCGAGTCAGTTCCTCGAAGTCCCCTTGCAAGTAAAGGAGTTCCTGGTACCTGTCCAGCATTCTCGGTTTCGTTTCTTTCGAGCAGAGGAGTCCCTGGTTCGTTTCCGGCAGTTTCAGGATCTCTTTCCAACGGAGTCCCCGGTACTTCTGCTGCAGTGATTTGAGTTTCCATAATTGGAGCATCATCCCTGACAGTCGCGTGTTGTCGTGCCTGATCCATATCGAGAGGAATCAACTGTGTAGCATCCCACTGTGTCACGTTCAGCTGCGTGGGTATGTCTTCTCGAGCTTGTGTCTGATTGTTGTGCTCCACTCTGTAGCCACTGGTTTCCTCTGCCATCTCGTTTAGATCGAGCGTTGCAAGTAAGGTCTTCTCTTGAGTAGCATTTACGTGTGTGCCATTTGAGCCTTCGTCCCTCATCGTTTCGCCATCCTTCATTTCCTCGTCGACTGTCTTGGACTCACTGTGCTCTTCACCATTGTTATAACAGTAGCCAGCAGGAGCGGCATTAGCATACTCCGCATCATCGTCCTTGAGTGTTTGCATCATGGCTTGAAGTTGGAACTGTTGCTTCTGCTGTAACGCCGAAATCTCTTCCGCAGTTGACTGGAAAGCCCGCAACTGTGTCTCTCTGGAAAGGCAGCTTTTGAGCAAAGTTCTTAAGGATATGTGTGCTCTTACCTCAGTAAAATACGGTCTCTGGCACCTTCAAATCGTTGGCTTTCAAGTTTGAGCTTGTTCAACACTTCCTCTTTCTCCAGCTGAAGAGAGGCAATTTTAATATGCGCTGCGTCCTTTTCATGCTAGAAAGAAAGAAAGACAGTGAATCAAATGTCAAAGAAAATTTTCCAACCTTGCATTCCTCCAGATTGTTTAGAGACATTTCAAGGTCCCGTATCGTTTTTTCCAGCTCCTGAACACAATACGTTAGTTCCATGGTCAAGCTTGTCAAAAAAAGCCTCCAACCTGTCTCAGGGCCGCAGATGCATGTTGCTCAGTGTTCAATTGGATTTGTAGTTCTTGACCCTTCTTTTCAAAATTCATACGAGTCTCCCTTTCTTCTTCCTGCATGCCCTGTTATTATGTCCAAGTTCAAGTTCAAGGCTACTGCACTTACCAGTTGCTTTCGCTGGCTTTCGATTTGTACTCGGTACTCGGTCACAGAGTCCTGAGACAAATCATAAAAACAATTAAGAAACAGCATCATGATGATTTTTTCTTACTTGAAGTGCGGCCATTTTGTCTTCCAGCTGCCCTCGTTGTCGAGAGAAAGCTTCAGCTTGTCGATTCGAGTCTTGCTCTGCTTCAGTCCGAATCCTATCTACAGCTGATTTATGCTGTGCTTCAATTTCTTGTCTTTCTTTCCTCCGCTGACTTCTTTCATCTTCTAACTGTTTCTCGAGCTCTTCCCTGTTCGCTTTGAAGCTGCTAACGGAGCCAATATCATGTTAAAAATCTAAATAAACTCAAATGCTTACTTCTTTAAGGCTTCTTCAGCCTCCATTCGTGACTGTGCAGCGCCCTTCAACCTATTGTTCAAGTCCTCTATCACGCTTTCTTGTTGAACGCATTTCGCAGAAAATTCTTCCATGCTTGAAACCTTTGTTGACAGCTCTGCTTGCAGGTCCGCCAGCTTTTGCGTATACACAGATTTACATTGATCGACGGCTTCCCTAACGATCTGCGTAAGATGTAAATCCTCACATACGATTTTTTATAAAGTACTTACTGATTCTGTGGAGGACTTGGCTGCTCTCAAGTCCGCGTTGAGGCTATCACTTTTATTACACTCGAGCTCCAGTTTCTGTCGAAGCTCCTGTGCATGGTTACACATCAGACAAATACTTATATAGCTTTGTCACCAGATTGATTAACGATCACCTGATTGCTTCGCTCTAAACGCCTTACATCTGCTAGATTTACAGGTCCATCTCCAATACCTGATCCGGACATTTTCATTCTTTTGCCATCCTCGTTCTTGGACAGCTCTACTTCTATAATCAGGAGAGAAAATTGTCAACATAGACAAGCAAAAGAACTCGCAGATACTTAGAGCATGTACCTACCTGGTTTTCTTTTCAAACCAGAACTAGTATCCCGAAAGACGTACGCAAACCCATTCTCTGCAAGAGCTACTTAACGAAGTTGGAAAATCCATGTAGGAAGAAACAATACCAAGTTCCGGAAGAGCTGCCAGCGATATGACATCTCCGTGCTGGAGACGAAGCTCGGGAGAATCTTTCCTCAACCTCTGGCCATTCACATAAGTCCCATTTGAGCTGGAAACACAGCACCCCCCAGACGTGGAGCTCTCGAAGCAGCATAGAAACAAGTACCTGGAATCTTTAATGTACGCCGCCCCGCTGATCCCATCATCAGTAGTGATATTCTTGCGGAAAATTCGGCAATGCCGGCCACTTATGCTCGGCGAATCGAATAGAAACAGAGAGTCCGCGACCATGCGCCCCAGGGTGTGCTCTGGAAGTGTCAAGAACATATGTTGCCCCTGAAAATCACGAAATCAGGCAATCCTAGCTTAGGAATCCCCCGGCGAGAGACAAATACCTGAGCTCGTTTCTTCGCAGCGTCCGAGAGAGCCGAAAGCACGCCCCATGTCCGATCATTCACTCCCGCGGGCAGCGGCTCCTGCAATATTTGCTCCGGCATAGCTATAGAACCCTAACAAGAAGCCAAAAGCCCTAGTGGAATATCCGCTATAATTTAAATCAAACAGGCGCGCGAAGAATTTCAAGCGTTCAATCTTTGCATTTGGACTCCAGTTTGCTCCGAGGAAGAAGCCTTCGCAGCTCCGGGATCGTCATCGGCGCTGGCAGCAGTGGCAATCGCAGCAGCTTCCGCAACATCTGGCGCCGCTAACACTAGCGGAGGAGGTGCCGGCGCCGCTTGCGCGCCGCCACTCTCCAAGTCATGCTCCTCCTGATCACCACACCGATTCCCAAAGAACTTCCTCCCACTCCTTCTCGGCCGCTGCTGCTGCTGGAATTGGTGATTCCTCGCGTGATTGTGCAGTGGATTCAAGTTCTCCACCGGATAGTAATCCTCCCCGACTGCCCGGAGCATATGATAGACCTCGTACATGGAGGGCCTTTCCTTTGGGAAGGATAGAACACACGAGCACGCGATCTTGAGCACTTGCATCACCTCCCTCCGCCGCCCGGAGCTTCCGTTGCTGCTATCGCCATTCCCCGCCGCCAGCAGCACCGACGCCTCCGCCACCAGCGACGGATCCACCGCCTCGGAGACATGGCCGCTCTTGAAGAGCTCGCCAATCCAATCCACCAGGCTCCTCCTGGAGGAAGAAGACCGCGCGGCAACTCCACCCTCACTGTCACCTCCACCATCACCACTGTCACCGCCACCACCACCACCGCCGCCACCGCCGCCACCGCCGACGCCAGCGTTACCATCGTTGGGCCGCCGCCCAGTCACGAGCTCCAGCAACACGACCCCAAACGCGTAGACGTCCCCCTTTGGTGTCGCGGTCGTGGACGCGGCGCTCATGCTAGTCGCCCGCGACAGTGAATACGTCGTGGAGTAGTCCTCGGGCGGCACGTAAAAACCATCCTCGTCACTGTTACTCTTACCGCCGGCGCCACCGGGCCTACCGCGCCCGGTAACTATTAGCCTGGCCAGGCCGAAGTCCGTGATTCGCGGCTCCAGGTCCTCGTCCAGTAGAATGCTGGCCGAGGTGATACCTTTGTGGACGAGTCGCGGGTTACAGCTGTGGTGAAGCCAGGCAAGCCCGCGGGCGGTACCCACCGCCACCTTAAGCCGCGCGGCCCAGTCGAGCCGCCCCGAGGTGGAGCCGGAGGAGCTGTCGCCCGGAGTGGATGCCGCGGCGGTATGCAGCCGGTTGTAGAGGTTACCGCACGGCATGTGTTTGTAGACTAAGAGGCGCTCGTTGCCCGCGATGCAGTAGCCGAGGAGGGGCACAAGGTTGCGGTGGCGGACCTTGGCCAGGGCCTCCATCTCCGATCGAAAGTGCTTCTCGCCCGCGCTGTGCATGGCGGCGCGGCGGAGCTTCTTCACCGCCAGGACGGAGCCGTCACGCAGCGTCGCCTTGTAGAACACTCCAGTCCGGGACATGGCGATGACGGCGTCGCGGGAGAATCCGGCGGTAGCGGCGGCGATGTCCGAGAGCCGGATCTTGACGATGGGCTGCTCAAACATGGAGACGAGCACAGCGCTGGGCGACTTGATCCGCCGGAGCCACGCGTTATCCAGGAGCTCCTCCTCCAGCTCCGCGCCACTCTTGCGCCGCCGCCGCTGCCCACCCAGTGCCACCCAGCAGCAGAGGAAGCACGCCGCCAGCAGCGCGAGCGTGCCGCCGGCGGCGACGCCGGCCACCACGGCGGTCCGGGCCCGTGCCGCGCGGTGCGCCGCCGCGGCGCCGGCGGCACCGCCCTTGCAATTGGCGCCCAGCGGCGCGCCGCACAGCGCCTCGTTGCCCGCGAAGGAGAGCTCCGTGAATGCGTGGAATGTGTATGGAATCGGCCCCGAGAGGCGATTGTCCGCGACATTGAAATCCCGGAGGCGAGGGAGGAGCCCAATCTGGCCCGGGATCCCGCCCTCGAGCCGATTCCTCTGGAGGCGCAGCTGATTGAGGTAGAGGCACTGCGAGAGATCCTGGGGGATGATCCCGGAGATGTTGTTCTGCGAGAGATCGAGCTTGACGAGGTAAGGCAGCATCTGGCAGAGATCGGCAGGGATTGGCCCCGTGAAGAAGTTGCTCGAGAGATCCAGGCCAGTGAGGCTGCTACACTTCCTGAGACCTCGCGGGAAGGATCCATGGAGTCCAGCGCCGGGGAGGGAGAGACTATAGACCTTGATCTCCGAGGGATGGAGGCACTGGACGCCCAGGAAGTTGCAAATGTTGGCAGCGCTGGTGTTGAAATCCCACGACTGGAGATACTCGCCCGCTGTGGTGACCGAGCTCTTGATCTCGCGCAGGCACTCCACATCCTCCTGCGCCGCCACCGCCATCGCCAGGAGCGCTAGCACCGCTAGCCGCATTGCCATACCGCCGCCGCGAGCTACTGCATAAAAGACGCACAACCCATGAGATCCTCTCCGCGACCCAGATGCTCGATCCCGACGCTGGACAGACCCAACAAGCCCGATTCCACGACCAGTGGCTCGATCGATCGACCCACAGTCCCAATCACTCCAGCCGACCCATTAAGAGGGGGAAGAACACACATACCCGTGGCGCGAGATGATCGCTCGCTCGCTCCTTCTTCGTTTGTCTCCCTGCCTGGCCTAGGCCGCCATCGCCCTCTCGCTCAGAGCTGCCCACACGCACTTACCATTGCCATCACTGGGGAGAGAGAAGCGGGGATATTCCCCGCATTTTCGCCATAGCCAGAGCAAGCGCACGAGTTTACACACTGGATGCTTCTCTCCCTCCTCTCTCTCTCCTTTGCGCTCCACTCCTCGAGATCGAGGCGATGTGGTGATTTAAACCCTACATTGTCTAGCTAATCGAGGAAGACCACACTGGAAAATCAAAGAAAAAGAATGGATTTGATGATCTCTCTCTCTCTTTCTCGTCTTTCTCTGTGACACTGTTCCACTGTTCTTCCCTGGTGCTCGCTTCTTCACAGCGACCAGACCACTATAATGGCTTTGACAGGGAAGCAAGCAAAGAATATATACTCTTCTTTTCTATGATTTGATGAGAACAAGAGCGCTTTTTTAGGTGGTGGCTAGAGTTACAAATCCCAGGCACGTGATGTTCTTGATTCGATCAAAAACAAACCAAGCTCTGGCTATGGCGGAAGGAAGAAGCAAGAACACGGAAAGAGCCTCTTTAGTTTTTAGAAAGTTTGTATACCATTCATAGAAGAAGATTGAGATTGTCACAAGCGTTGTCACGGTATATTTACAGGTAAGTTTCGTTGTTCTTCTTCTTTGGTACTTGTCTTTGTTTCTTTCAATCGCGCTCGCTGTTGGTATTTGTGTTGTTACAAGGTGGGCCGCGAATGCGCTTTTGGAGGTGCTCCAAGCTCGCGACCCGTTGCATGGAAGGCGTGCGATTCATTTTGCTGCCACCACCTCCACTTCCGGAGTTTTCCTGCTGCGGGCTTTGATGATCTTGGTGGTGAGCGTGATCTTCCTCGTCGATGATTTGGAAAGCCGGAGACTTCTGCTGATGCGGTCGGTTGCAGAAGTTCATCGATCCATTAGAGCCAGCTCTGGAGACGACGTTCTCGGCCATCTTCACCTGGATCACCTCAAAGCTGTGAGTAACGAAGAACCAAGGAAGTAAAAATGGGAATTTGTAAACCTTTGCTCGCAGAGCTTCAACGTCGGACTTGAGCACCCGGTTGTCCACGGCAGCATCGCCAAACTTCTTGTTGATGTCGTTGAGTTGCTTGAGCAGCGTCGAGTTCTCCACTCTCAGCTGAGCAACTTGCATCTCGAGATCGCTCATGTGAGCTTGCTTCCGTCGCCTCGACCTTCTCGCGGACTCCCTGTTGGATAGCATCCTACGCAACAACCAAAAGTGTGAAAAATACTACAAACGAACAACGAATGAACTACGATCGAAATAGTTGAGGAAGCATTAGACAAATCTAGTCACACACAAGGCACACACAAAGGCACAAACAACACGCAAACAAGAACAATGAACAACAGGCATGAAGAGCAAGAGATAAAAAAAAGCTTCCATACCGTCTCATGCGTTTCATGTCGCTGGGCTCTGTCGATTGCTCCACAGTGCTGTGGTCTGCGTCCCCTTCCTCGTCATCGGAGTGCTCGCGGGAAGAACCACTGGTAGCTGATGGCTTGTCTTTGTACTCGGGCTTCGGAGGTAGAGCTGGAATCCCACCGGCGACCGTGGCGTTCTTGCTGCTCGAATCATTCGATCCTTTCCGGTTGCTGGCCTATACATCCCAAACAAAGATTAACTTCGGACTATCTCCAGCATACTCTCTGGCAAGCAAAGCTCATGGATAAGGACAACACAGGCGAAAGAAGTCACGTAAAGAAAAAACCAAAGCTCTGAAACAAATCCAAGGTTCTGCCAATGAATAACACACAGAAAAGCTAAACAAACCATGAAAGCAAACAACGAAGAAAATCTAGAAAGAAAGATGGCTAACGAGGAAAAGCTCACTGACAACGAAGATGAAATGATCTCTAGCAATGAAGATCACACACCAGGATCTCTAGCAATGAAGATCATACACCACGAAGATGAAAGGATCTCTAGCAACGAAGATCACACACCACGAAGAAGGAACTACAATTCCCCCAAGAAAGCTATAGGCATACCCGTGTGAGAGCGACGGCGGCACACGCGAGCTCCAGCCTCTTCTTGAGATAATCCTGATACGCCTCTGGATCGAGCTGGCCGAATTTGCTCTCGCTGCTGGATAATCTCGAGAACAAGGGATCTAGCTGCCGATCCTCCACCTCTTCCACACCGCTCTCCTCTGTCACCGGCGCTAGCCTGCTCCCAATCCCAGCCCCTCCAGCAGCGCTGGCCTGCTGTGGCGCACCTGGAATGCTCGCAGATCTAGCTCCATCCCCCTCTTCCTGGATCGCATCGTCGTGCTCGCGAAGAAACTCCTGGAATGCCCATTCCGAGTCGCTGCGATTCATACCTCGCGCTTGCGCCGGAGGAGGAGGCGCCATCGCTGCTCCTCCCGCGATGGAGGATGATCGTCGTCTAGACTCCACAGGTAAAACCCTCATCTCTTTGGGATTAAGTCAAACAAGAACAGCTCCTTATACAAACAAAAAGTAAAAGTGGCAAACGTGGCAAACGTGGAATTTGTATAATCGAAAGATCAAAGCTTGAATGTACAGGATAGAAGAAAAAAATTTCTCTTTTTCTTTGAGATTTCTAGCCAACCATGATCACGTCCCTCAAGCTCAAGCTGTTCCTCATTTGCCCTCTTCCAACGCCGCCATTCCCATTCCTCATCATCGTCACGAATTCGTTATAGTCGATCCTTCCATCCTGGAGGAAACAAAATAAGAAATGAAATGATCGTGATGAGAACTGTGCTAGCTTACGTTGTCTTGATCGATTTCCCGCAGCATATCCTCGAGCAAATCGTCGCCCATGTAGTGCTCCTTGCAAGCGCTTTGGAGCTCGTCAATGGTGATATATCCGCTGCTGTCTCGATCGAAGTATGAGAAGGCAGCGAACAAGTTCTCCTCGCGCTCGATCTTGTTGAGGTGCAGCGTTGCGGTGATGAATTCCGTGTAGTCGATGGTACCGTTCTTGTCAAGATCAGCCTGGTAGTGAAAGTAGAACTTCAACTCTTCGAAAGTCATTCTTGAAACTTACAGCGTCCATGAGAGCGTGGATCTCCGACTCTTTCAAGTTGGATCCCACTCTCTGCAAGCCGGCTTTGAGCTCGTCGAAAGTGATCGCTCCGCTGTTATCAGCGTCCATCATTTTGAACATCTCTTTCAAGCCAGCGATCTCGTCCTCGGTGCATCTCTCGGCTATCACCTGGAAAATCAATCCAAGAGAACTTTTAAGATCAAACTCGAAAGGGACAGAGAACTTGAGAGTTACCCTCAAAGCGATCTTTTTGATCTTGTTCATCGCGGAAAAGTGTTTCAACCGAGACAGAACAGCGGAATCAATCGGTGCATCTGGTGCGACACCTCCTTCCATGATCCACGGATGAGCTACAAAAAAAAAAGAGAGAATGTAAGATCGAGCTTAAAATGTTCTAGAGAAACCAACTTAGAACTTCTTGCGCTTTGAGTCGTTTGCGTGGATTGCGAGTTAGCATCTTGCGGATCAAGTCCTTGGCGCTCTCCGAGATCTTTGGCCATGGATCCGACTCAAAGTCGATGTCGCCTTGGAGAACTTGCTCAAATATACCTTGCTCCGTTTCTAAAGAAGAAAAATCAAAGTGAGAACTTTGCATGCATCAAACAAGAGCTCCTAGTTCACTAGTATATCGAGAGAGAAAAAAAACGTGTTTTACCCGCCCAGAATGGAGGAACTCCACTTAGAAGAATGTATAGAATCACTCCCGCGCTCCACACATCGGCCTCGGGTCCATACTGCTTGCGAAGAACCTCTGGAGCAACGTAGTATGGGCTCCCCACGACATCTTTGAAAACCTCGCCTGTTTCAATCCAGACAACAACAGAGAACTTAGGAACAAACGAAAAACCAATCAAAGAATCCACGATCTCAGGCATTGCTGTGCAAACAGAATTGTTTTCGCGATGGTGACGAACGATGCGACTTGTTCATGCAAACAGACCTCCACTGCTGCTTTGACGCGATCACACTAATGCACAAATGCTCTCCAGTGGAAAAAAAAAAGGAGAAATTTATATGGTCGCTAACGGAAAAGAATGGAACTCCAATTGTCAAACTCAAGCTCACCAATCCAAGTTGACACGATCATGCAAGCCAGAAGAAAGAAAGAAAGAAAGAAAAGTTCACGTCCATGGCACCAAGATTTAGAAAAAAACACCACACATCGATCCATGACGCGAAGTCGAGACAAACAGTAACAACAAGAAAAAAAAATTCCACGAGGAGGAACAGCGCCCACAAAAAGCAAGCGCGTCCATGGATAACTATTCCAGCAAATAAAAAACGCAGCGAGAAGGAACCAAAAAAAAAAAAAAAACCAGCCAGGAGAACAAAAAAAAACGATGATCTCTATCGAAGAAGAGCAAGCAAACAAAGAGATGGCCTCTTCTCCTTGATGAGATGAGAATAAGAACAAGCAAGCGCAAAGACCCAAAATCCCCGGAAGAACAAGAGATATGATCGGTCGCTTACCCGGCTGGAAGAACACCGAGAGCCCAAAATCCGTGGCCCTGAGCGGCGAATCCTCATCGGCATTGGCGAGCAGGAAATTCTCAGGCTTCAAATCCCTGTGCATCACTCCCAGCGAGTGGCACGCCACCACCACGCCCACAATCGTGCGCGTCAGCTGCGCCGCCTTGCTCTCGCTGTAGTGCCCGCGCTGGATGATCCGATCGAAGAGCTCGCCGCCCGCGCAGAGATCCATGACGAGGTGGACGCAGCTGGAATCCTCGTACGCGCCCTTGATCTCCACCACATTGGGGTGGCCCGAGAGGTGATGCATTATGTGGATCTCGCGCCGGACGTCCTCCACATCCTCGAGCGAGATGAGCTTGCGCTTGGGGATGGACTTGCAAGCGTAGTGCTTGCCGCTGGATTTCTCGGTGCACACGTAGGTCGTGCCGAATTGGCCCTGCCCGAGCTTCCGGCCGAGCACGTAGAGATCCTTGACATTCTCGGTGCGCCGCCCAAGAACAGAGGATGTGAGGCCGCCATGGCGGGGCGACACCACCGCCGCCGCCGCCGTGGGTCGGGAATCGCCCATCACCACCACCACCGCTTTCCTGGCCCTGGCAGCGGCGCCGCCGCCCTGGAGCTCCTCCTCCGCGATGATCACGCTTGTGGGCGGCGCTTGTTGGGTCGATTGCTTGGATCCTCCCGGCTCCTCCCAGCTGCCCTGCGCGATCTTGTCCCTCTCCTGCGCGATCCAGCCGCCCTGGAAGAATAGCCAGCTCCTGCCCGCTAGGCTCCCCGATCCTATGCACGAATTCCCCATGTCTTTCTCATCTCATCACGACTTTGATCGGTCAATCCAGACTGCTCGAGCCTTTCTACTCTGTAAGTAGCCTAGACTTTCTACTAAAACTAGTGGACATTCTCTTCCTCTCTCTTTCCTGAGGAACAGCGTTTCACGGGATTCGAAACCCAGACCGGTTCTATGCCGCGTCAAACACACCTAATCGACGGCGCAGGGCCCGCCACGTGGGCAGATGCTCTCGCGCGTTGACTGGGCATGGACCCGCGTTCTAGAATTGTATCCTAGCTTTGGGACAGAGAAATTTACGTGATCTTTTCCTTTGATGAAATGGTCATTTAGCAAAGATACACAAAATCCTCCACGTAAAGATCTTTTGATCTTATCAATGGGCATTTAGCAAAGCTACACAAAAATTCCACATAAAGAATGTAAAGATATATCTATAGACAATGTCAATGTTGTATGGTTGAGGCTGTGTGTGTGTGTGTGTGTGTGGGGTTCTGGCCCTTTAGAAGTCGATCTCGTCAATGCCCAGCATTCTTGGGCCCGGGATGGTTTTTCCAATGGCTTTGCCGCAGAGAAGAACGTTTTGCGGGATCCATGTCTCGGTTCTCGTGGAGTTCTCAGGATTAAACACGCGGGCATAGCCTTCCTGGCCCAGGTACTGGCGTCTCAAGCACTGGGACCGGATGTTCCACATTCCTACGTTGTCTACCGAGAAGAGAATCGCCGTCCAGCCTCTCGGGTACACCTACAAGTTGATCAAAGTTGATAGTCAGCGAACAAAATTTCGTTTCTTTTAGTGTTTTTGGGTGATCGACCAACCTGTGTTGTGGAGCGTGAAACAGCGTCGACCAAGTTGTACTTGGATCGGCTGCTGGGCGACCATGTTTCGTTGAATCCAAACCTGGAAGAGCAACCACAATGGATAAGTGATCCGATCCAATCGAGCCCGATCCATACCCGACCACCCAGAAGCTCATCCCGTCCAAATGCCACGACTGGATCTCGTTCTCCGGGTTGACGAATACGAGCTCCACAAAGCTCTTGTAATCCAGCTCGAGAACCGACGTCTCCATCACCGGCGAGCCCACGGCACTGGTTCGCATCGATCCCCGCGTGAAAACTCCGTCGATATTGTAGAAATCCGCGAGCTTGAGCGGGGTATCGGGTGTGAGATACGACTGCCCGTTGATCGCGAAGCGCGCCTGGTTGTTTAGAGTCACGGAGGAGCTCGAGAGCTGGATCACTCTCGTGATGGGAATTTGGCCATAGTGGTAAGATCCTTGTGGGTTGGGCCGCGCGGCACCGGTGGTCAAATTCCACCTTAAAGAAGAAAAAGTGTCAGTGAGCTCGGGCAGGTTCTCGGTCATACCGCGCGGCACTGCTCGGTCTGGCAAGACTGTACTGCGCGGTACTACTTACTTGATAGATAACGCCTGGTTTAGCGAAAAGTTGACGTCCAAGGGATCCGGGCCGGCCGGGATGGTTCCAGATGCCGCAGTGTTGGAATTTTGGTAGTGAAGAATCGCGACGCCGTTGAGTGAGCCGGAGCTGAATTTGGTGCTTGCGACAATGTAGTAGTCCGCGGGGCTCTGATCCATAGTGACGAGCACCGAGTAGGATTGCCCGAGATGGATGTCGAGCGAATCGAAGCACGTCTTGGCGGTGTAGGAGCCCTCGGTTTCCACCACGCAGAGCTTGTGGGACTGGATCCGGACGTTGAGTGATTGGGCGGTTCCAACGTTTGAGATACGGAAGCGGTAGATCTTCCCTGCGAGATTGGAAATGCCCGAGTTGATCGATCGAGAAGTTTTTCGCAGGATCGAGTGGGAGTGATGCTTACCAGATTCGACAGTGAACTTCTCAAAGTTGGCATTGCTACCACCCGCAATGTATGGTGCCTTGCCATTCATAAGAACAACGTTTGGTCTTCCAATGCCTTGGCTCTTATCCAGTCGTGATCGGCTCGACTGTTTAATCACACAAAGATTTGTCCACCAATCTTGATGTGAGATCGTTGCAACAAGAAAAAGAAAGAAAAAAAGAACGCACGCGTTCTTCCACTGACCCGATAGTCTCGAAGCTGCCAATCACCGGCCAAAAGCGTGAAATCGTCCGCGGGCGGTAGGAAAGGAACGGCAATCACTACGCGATTGGCGATCTGGATTCCACCATAGCCTCCCGCGGCCTTGTGGAAATTGATGGAAGGGTAGTAGAAGAAGGTCCCGATTTGATCCTTGACTTGGAAATTATACTGCCACGACTGGCCGGGCAAGATCGGGCAATTCGTTCCCGAGACGCCGTCTTGCCAGGATGATCGCCGCTGCTGGATCCCATTCCTGGATCATGGATCACGAGATTGGAAATGGATTAACGGAAACAAAACCGAAGTGATCATACCAGTGAAAGAGCAGGGGCTCGTCGAGGCGATTCGTCACGTTGATGTGGAGATTGTTGTTCGTGGTGGTCTTGATCGTGGGTCCTGGAAATTGGTTGTTGATCGCGATCACCTGGGAAGAACAATGTGAGATTTGAGACCCCAAAGAAACAGAGCATAGCAAATAGTGCGTGGTGTATGCGTGTGATGATTGATTGATTGATCGATCTTACTCTTTGTGTGGTGCCCAGCAGTGGCAAATTCTGAAATGTGACTACCCAGTCGAGGAACTGATCTGGATCCGCTGCCTGTGCCGTCGATGCTAGTGCAATAACTGCGAGAATCGCGAGGAATTTGGCGATGGCGGCCATGTTTGTCGTCGTGAGGAACAGAGCACTCTGTTTGAAGAAGTGGCGGATCAAATTGTAGAATTCGAGAGCCTTTCCTATCAGAGCTGTTGAATTTCGCGGCCAAAGATCAAAGGCGATGGTGACCGTGGAGTTCCTCTGGCGATTTATAGCTGAATTTGCTGAGAGAAGGGGAATTTCAAAGAAGATGAAGCTTCAAAGCAAGATCGTGCGACTCAAGTTCCGCAATGAGCTGCGTCCAGCGCACATGAACTGATGGAGCGCCCAAAACAAAGTCGACGATTCAAGCCGAAGATTCTTGGCAGTAAAAACCGGAGTTGATGATAAAAAACACCTCACAACTAGCACCAAAATTCATGAAAATTCCGCGCTTAGCCGCAAAGCCAGTTGATCGATCAAGTTACCGATCGACCTAGCTTGCAATTCCGGTGCGAGCGCGTGAGGTTTACTTGCAGCTCCGCGCCCGCTGCTTTGCACAGCAATTCCACGCGTCCTCTAGAACACACGCAGCGGGCGTGCGTGGGGGCTAGCGGCCGTTGGATGCACTTATCCGCCGGCCACGAATACATAGCGTGGCGATATCGGCACTGTTGGATGTTAACGCGTTGGACGGACAGTAGGCAAAAGAATAAATAGCCATGGCCACTGTTGCGATTGTGTCTATATGTTGTTTCTTTCTCAAGATGTTGCGTAAAGTAACGTGCATTGGATGAATGGATTAAAAGAGTCATATATACGTGTGCCCTAAGTTTGAATTCAAACGTTGGAATATTCGAAAGCCCTAGAACAGAGTTTAATTCAAACGTTGGAATATTCGCATGCCCTAGAAGAGAGTGAATAGCGCGGGCCGGCCAAGAGGCTATGGGTGCCGTTTGTATCGCCGCTTGGACTCTCTAATAAATCCACGCTCGGGCTTTGAGCTGTAGCCAGCAACGCGACGAGTTCGCGGACAAATCAACGCTGAAGCGTTTCTTCAATCCGTCGATCAATCAATCAATCGCTCTGGAGCTTTTGCCAAAAGGAAGAATGGCGAGGCCAATCTGGTGGAAGGGCGATGAGGCAGTCACTCTGGATCAATCGCCCTCCCAGCGATCGTCCTATTATGGCGAAGAGGACGAGAACTACGATTTTAGCTTCCAGAGTAGCTTTCAGGCATCGCCCATGGCTAGAACGATCCACGCGACCTCTTCGCCAATGGGCAATGGCGGCTTCAGTCCCTCGCAGCTGGGCAATGGTCCGGATCGCGTGTTCGTGGTCCCTGTCCGGGGATCCGAGACGCCAATCACCAGGTCCAAGATTCCTCCTCCTCCGCGCGGCCGGATGGGCAGCACCACGCCTGAAATCGAGCGCCGGCTTGCCAATGCCGAGGCCGGCACCGTCCAGGGCGCTGCGCTGGAGATGTATCGGGTGCTCAAGAAGAATGGATTGGCCGCCCAGGCGGAGAAGGCGATCAAGCGGCTCAACAGTGGCATTAGCGGCGCGGCGGCGGAGGAATCCCTGCTGGGGATGGAATTCATCCTCAAGGATGGGATCGTGAGCTTCCTCAGGGAGCTCTCCAAGCTCGCGCCTCCAGTTCCTCAGCAGGTAAATCAATCGCTCGCGAAAATATTTTTAGGGTTCTTCATTTTCTCGTTGTCTACAGGTAGTGAGGTTTTCTGGCGTGCGCCTCAGCGTCTCGCAAGAACAGGCGCTGGGGTATGAGACATTCGGCGGCAAGCTGCTGGGATGCTTCTTGGGGCCGCTGCGGAATCTACTGCTGGACAGGAAGACGATCAAGAGGAAGATCGAGGTGCTAAAGGATCTGGATGGATTTATCATGCCCGGCAGCACTACGCTGCTCTTGGGGCCTCCCGGGAGTGGGAAAAGCTCGTTGCTCAAGGTATTTCTTCAGCCGCATTCATGTGTTTGCTTGGGTAGAATGTTCTTCTTTGGCGTTTTTTTCCTGGAATCCTTGATGGCCGTATTCTCATGATCTTGTTTCCTTCTTCGTTCAAGTTCTTAGATTGTTCCACCGCAAGGTTCTTCATTTGTCGTCTGGGATCTTTCTCTTTTAGTTTTTGTTTTTTGGTAATCAGCTTTCGACTTTTTTCAGGTGCTCGCCGGGCGATGTGAATCCAACAAAACCACTAAACTACAAGGAATAGTTTCTTACAATGACCGACTAGCTTCCGAGGTCGTGCTTACTCGACTCATTGCTTATGTCAATGGACAAGTGAACAGGTATTAAAAGCTTGTAAATCTCCAGGTGCTAACATTGAGCGTTTCTTCAAGGCATTTGCCGTTTCTAACAGTTCGCGAGACGCTAGAGTTTGCTGGGGATTGCACGCAAGGGATCCGACCAAAAAACTTCACTCCCAGCATGCGGAGGTACTTTGCTCAAGCTCTAGTGCAAGGGCAGGACCCATACCTGGAGTATGTTCTTCATGTTCTGGGGCTCAAGGCCGTGGAAGATAAGCTCGTTGGAATCGGCCAAGACGGTCTAAGTGAAACAAACAGGCACAGACTTACAAGTGCTGAGCTAGCAATCGGGACTTACGCAGTAATGATCTATGACCAGCCTTGCTACGAGCAGGACTCGCAGGCAACGTATGACCTCGTCTTCACCTTGCGTGCGATAAGCCGCATACAACGGTCTTCTGCGGTGATGTCGCTGGTTCAAGTATCTCCAGAAGTTTTCGAGCTTTTTGACCGGGTGATAGTCTTGGGAGATGGACAGATACTTTACCAGGGACCACGACAAGACGTCTTGGATTACTTCTCTGTGCTGGGGTATGTTCTATAGCTTGGCTTTCGAGTTTATCTTAACATGGGATTTTTTTCTCGCTATGCAGATTTTCGAAACCGTCTCATGTTGACACAGCTGCATTCTTGCAAGACATTGGAGCAGGTGAAGGCGGTCAATACGTAAAAGGAAACCGGCAACTATATGGGATTGAAGAGCTCGTCGAGGCTTACAAATCCTCAGACTTGTACAAAGACATCGTCCGGATAGTGTCCAGTGACGATGTTGCGTTTACGTACTGGGTGGAGCATGAGCCTAGCATTGGTTTGTCAGTGCGTAAATCCTCAAACGGTGCAGGTAAAGTGTTTGGAAGTGTTTTATTTGTGTTTTAACCAGCCTTGTACATTCATTGCAGAGGTGGTAGTAAGTAGACTATCCACTAAAGTCGACCAAGCTCAAGGAATTGAGAGTACTGGGCATATCCAAGAAGGTGACATTGTCACTGGAATTTCTCTAAGGAACGGAAGGATGCAGTATATTGCAGTAGGATCGAAGATAACCCGGAAGAGCTATGCTGATGATATATCCAAGGTTTTGGAAGGGGCTAGAGGACACGTCCGACTCCAAGTAGAGCGAAGAGCAACAGAGCAGGAAGTCGAGAGCTCACAACCAGCGTTTGTGCAAACCTGGTGGGAGTCGACAAAAACAGTCACCAAGCGTCAGCTACGATTTGCAACTCGTCTCAAGATACTTGTTATCTTGCGTCTCACTCAAGTTCGTATCGACTGTTCCTTTCTTCATTCATGCGTGATAAGTTTTACAGGTTGTGATCTTGGGCATTTTCGGGGGAGCTATATTCTATAACTTCGGTGGATCTCTTGATCCGGGAGAGATGAACATTGTTCGAGCGATCGGCTTTGTTTCTACTTTCAGTATTATGCTTGTCAACGTTGTTCAACTTCCGGTGCACATGATTCAGCGGCCGGTTTTTTACAAGCACAGAGCGCAGCGTTTTTTCAGAGTTTCCTCGTATTTAGCAGCTCAGAGCATCGTCAACCTTCCACAGTCTATTATGGAGGCAAGGCGCCCATTGCATTTTACTTGTGGATTCTGACCTGGGATTTGTTGTGGCAGGCCCTTCTGTACAGCATTCCAGTGTATTTTCTTGCAAGACTTTCACTGGAAGAAGCTGGACTTCATTACATTCAGTTCTTTTGGCTATTAGCGTTAGTGGCATACATGGGGTCTTTTCTTGTCATTTTTCTGAGTACAATTACTCCAGTTCTCGAAGCTGGGAACGCTTTAGCAGGTTTGTTTTACATTTTTCTTATATTTGGTCTAACTCAGGATCGTGTGTCAGGCTTGGTGGTTTCTCTCGGTTTATTGTTTTCCGGATTCGTTATCTTTCCGAGCTTGACTCCACGCTACTGGAAGTGGATGCTTTCGGCCAATCCGCTCCGTTGGGGAAATGTTATATTCTGCATGGCCGAGTTCCTCAATCGCTACCATGAATCTTGCCAAGACTTTCAGCAACTTCTGTTTTGCCGGAAACATCCAGATCTACCAGTTGGCCGGGCGTACCTCGAGTTTTTCCAGCTTGATTCGGAGAGAAAATGGATGGCAATATCCTTCGCAATTATTGCTGCTTCGGTTCTCATTCTGGCGCTCGCTTCTTACTTGGGACTCAGCAAAGTCGTCTTTTCGGAAGTAAGTCCTTCCTTGCCAAGCGAGCCTGCAAGGAGTTCTTACAAGCAATCGGAGGACAAGCAGAAAGATATCTCTTGGGACGGACTATCCAGAATAACCGAGATGAGCAACTTGGAAACCAAGACATTGTGGGAGAAGAATGGTAGCACCTATGACGACGAAGAGCTTGGCCTTGGGCTTGAACTGCGGGGAACAGGTCACCAGTGGGAGAATTCGCACATACCCGTGAAAGCAGCCACGTTATCATTCCACCAAGTGAGTTTCTCTGTAAAAGCCGAGGAGAAGATAGTGCTGGACAGGGTCTCGGGATTCGCAAAGCCAGGGACAATGCTTGCAATTATAGGGAGCATGGGCTCAGGGAAGTCCACTCTTTTAAGAGTTCTCGCAGGACGAACTCTGCCATCGTCAAGTGGGGAACTTATCTCGGGTGAAGTGCTGGTGAACGGATTCAAGCTGAGTAGCAACACCTTCCGGCGGCTGTCTGGTTTCGTGGAGCGAGTGGACGCTCATCAGCCATTCTTGACAGTGAAGGAGTCACTCGATTTCAGTGCCGGTCTTCGTTTTGGAGGCAGCACAACCCCCGGCCGCCGGGCCTTTCACGTAGAGCTCGTCCTGGAACTTATGGGCCTCGTCGGCGTCAAAGACCAGCTAGTGGGATCTCTCAAGTTTTCAAACGGGAAGATCTTTGAGCTCGCCAAGAAGCTGACCATCGCTGTGGAGGAGCCGTGAGTCGGCATGATTTTTCTCGAGGACCCGACGTCCGATCTCGACAGCGTCGCCACCAGGAACATCCTGTTCGCCATCCAAACGGTTGCAGCATCCGGCCGCACTGTTATCAGCACGATCCAGCAGCCGAGCGCTAGAGTTCTCAGTGCCTTTAACAACGTTCTTATTATGAGACCCGGTGGGGAGCAAGTTTACTTTGGTCCCGTCGGCTGGAACTGTGCCCAGCTTCTGGAATACTTCACGACGATGTCGAGCGCTCCAAAGTATGAGCAGA